CGTTGGCCCAGAGATTTCAAAAATTAAGGCCGTTAACCGATTAACCCATATGGTTAATCGGTTAACACTGTTAAAACTCAGAAAAATGCTTGAGTTAAAAAGTGTTATACCAATTCAAATGATTTTAAAACCATGCAAATGCAATATGATAAGTATTTGAACACTTGTATATCAATTAAAGGAGTGAAAAATGATATACCGAAGCTTGAGTCCAAATCTTGAAATTTGAATGAACATTTGCACATGATGCTTGATTTGCTTGACAATATTCCATAATCTTGATATGCTTCTAGTTTTATCTTTAGTGTATATACCCCCACGGGTATATAGTGCAAACAGCTTCACAGTACATATGCCCCCATGGGTATATAGTGTAAGTATCTTGATCAAATTTGAAAGCTTTGACTTTTTGCTTGCAATCATGGAATGAGCTTGTCTTTGTTGACATCATCAAAACCTTGAGATTGAAATGTGCTTCTACAAATATTTTCATAAACAAGAGTGTCGTTAACTCTTAGTTATACCGCAAACGGTAACGCCTAAGTCTCCAATGGTCGAGCTGCATACACCAACTGCTAGAACTATCTGTTAACCCTACTCGGGCCTAAAAAACTGTTGAACCAACATGTGGTCCTTTTATCCCGAACTACGTTTTCTCTGATCTTTCGTACCAGATGAAAGTACGTAGGCACGAGATGCGATGTCTCGTCGAGAAACCTTCCCCCTTCTTTACCCAAAGTTAGTCGAACTACGTTGACTCTGACTTTCCCATTGCACGAGGGAGTACGTAGGCACAGAGCAGCGATGCTCTGGCGAGTCATTTCTCTTTTCTTTTTCTTTGGTCCTTAAGCCTTTAGTTAGATAGTATCAACACACCCTTTTAGATAGACAACAATGCGTGGATCCCGTCGAGTACGACAGACGTGAGGGGTGCTCATACCTTCCCCTTGCGTAACTGACTCTCGAATCCAGACATGGTTGCGATGACCTTGTCTTTCCCTTTTTCTTTAGGTTTTTGCGATCGTTTCCTTTCCCTCTCTTTGGGATAAATAACGAAAGTGACGACTCTTCTGTTTTTTCCGCCGGTGGTTTTTCGCAGTAGCGACAGCTGGCGACTCTGCTGGGGACTCTGGTTCCCTATGCGAGTCAATCCTAGCGCTTGTATGTTTATCTTTGGGTGTTGTATATATGTGCTTTATTTACTTTCCCGCATTTATTTTCCGCATCATATATCATTACTGTTATGCTGTGGGGAGGGAAGTTCCATTGAGTGATAAGTCGGACCTGGGCTTGAGTATACACCTAGATTTAGTAGTGGAGATTAGTGGTGGGTGTGCTTGCTTTGCTCGTACTAGCTCACCGTGAAATTCACGCTCGGACGAGATTCTCTTAGACAACTTTCTTTCTGGCCCTTTGGGCTCGAGGGAATTTTGGATTTGAGGGTTGTCGACTCTGGGGACCGATCATCTGTGAGTCAGCTAAGTGAGGCCTCTTCAGGAGACGATGATGCCAAACCAGAAATGGAGAATGTATCTTCATTTCTTGAAAGTCTGTGACGCTAAAAAACGCATAGGATGCCGAACCTTTGTCTGTGGATAGGTCCATACCTGTGAGGGGGATTGGGTTATGCAGGAAACCTTGGCTTTTAAAATACCCGGTCCTTTGCAGTGTGAATCTGTTTATCAGTGGGTCCTGTTATCGGTACTTTGTTCTTGCTAAGGCGAAGCTATGGTTTTTCTCGACCGACAGCACAACAGTCTTGATCCCTTGTTTGCATTTTCGTCTGCATATCATTAACATGCATTTGTGTTGCAGGTGCATATTTCTCCTTCGATTCCGGTGATCTTATTCCCTCCTTACTAATATGGATTCTTTGAAGAGAACTGTGGCTTACAAGCTTCCGACTCCAGATGTCAGGTCTTTGCTGAGTTTGATTTCTCTGGCTGGTGGGAAAGTGATGGAGGATTTTAGGCAGTCTTATGGGAGATTACTGAGATGGGTCTGCAAGCCTTCAGCACATGGGGTGGATGGTCTTTATGCCTTTCTTCAGTTTTATGATCCGCAGTTGAGATGCTTTGTTTTTCCTGATTACATTCTAGCACCTACTTTGGAGGAGTACTCAGTATTGTTGGATGTGCCTGTTCTTAGTCAGATGCCTTTTGTTCATATTGATGCTAAGCCTGATCTGGCAAAGCTCGCTGCCATAGTACATGTGGATGCTTCAGAGTTACAGGGGGGTTTGACAGAGTGGAATGGGGTGCATGGTTTTCCTTTGGCTTTCCTGGTTGACAAAGCTAGACAGTTTGCTAAGGATGGTTGCTGGATTGCATTTAGTGTTGTTCTTGCTCTATGTATATACGACATTGTTTTGTTTCCTAATCTTCCAGACTTTGTGGATTTGGATGCATTTCATATATTGGCCTCGAGAAGCCCGATGCCTACCCTTCTCGGAGACGTTTATCATTCTGTGCATTACAAGAATGAGAAACGAAGGGGTAAGAATGTAGCTTGTTGTGTTCCTCTTTTGTATGCTTGGTTTGCTAGTCATATGCCTAAGACGAATCCATTTGTGGCTGCTGCTAGTACTTCCAAATGGTCAGAGAGATTGATGGGATTATCTGCGGAGAATATTGTTTGGTTTGATCGAGACATGCTGGGTACAAATATTGTTTATAGTTGTGGTGGCTTTCCTAATGTTCCTTTGATCGGAAGGAAAGGTTGCATCAACTATAACCTGTCTTTATTGGTGAGACAGTTTGGGTATGCATTGAGAGAGCCTCCTAGAGAAGAGGAGATACAAGAATCTCTGTATCTTACTGGCTTATTGGAGGGCGAGGCTCTGGGCAGACTTGAGCACGCATGGAATAATATTCGTCGAAAAGGGAAGTTAGCTTTGGGGAAGAGTAACAGTCGAGCGTATGACCCATACTTGACTTGGATTCATGATAGAGCTGCGAAGTTCTTGATGCATTCCCTGCAGTTGCACCATTGTATCCTCTCATGATCGAGGAACCTATTACTGTAGATATCCATAAATACAATCAGGTATTGGCGGAGAAAGAAGAGCTGAGAAAAGCGAATGAAGAATTGGAGAAAGAGATTATCCAGCTTCGCAACGAGAAGATAGATGTTGTTCATTCTTTCAGGAGACAAACCGAGCTTGTGAACAAGCTGGGTACTGATCTGACTAAGGAGACTAAGGACAGAGAGCGCACAAGCTAAGATTTGAATGCTTCTTATCGTGTTTTTGCCACGAAGAAGGAAGAGTTGGATAAGGCTTATTCGAGGATCTCCAAGTTTGAGTCGATATGGAATGCCACGCTTACTAACAACAAGGAGCGTGAAGACAAGTTAAAACTTCAGATCAGCAAGTTGAAGGCTCAGCTTAATGCCAAAGATGAAGAGATTGCAGCAGAATCATCACGTAGACGAGACAGCGAGTGCAGGTTGAATGAAGCGATCGCTAACTTGAAGAATCCCAAGCTGAGAGCTGGCTCCAAGAGGCGCAGACTTGAGGCATGTTTCGGAGAGAGGGCTTTAGAGGATCACGTTGATAGCCTACAACATATGGTGAGTCAGCAGGATTTGCTTATCCAGGGGTTGCTTGTCAGGTCGGATCATCCTGAGACGTTGAGGCTGTTAGAGGATTTCCGATCACGTCATCCTGCTTGACCTGTTTTGTCTATTTCTGTTGTAGTTTTGATGCTTTTTCTGTTGTATTTGACCATCGCCAGGTTTGTTGGCCGAGGTCTTTTCCTTATTTGTACTCAGCTGTAGTTTGTACTTTGCCTGATGGTTTTTTGATCTATATATGAGGAGTTGGTATTCTATGTTTGTCTGCAAGGTTCTCCATTGTTGTTCTTCCTAGAAACTGGAATCGAGAAAGGAATTGAACAAAACTTTCATGTTTATGTAAGTTTTTATTTATTAATAAGTCGCACTTGTTTTTTTTAAAGAAATAGTTAAAAATAAATATAATCTAATCTAATATAAAAGACAATAAAATAAAACTAAATCAACTTAAATATTTATTTTCTAAAAATAAAATTGAAAATGGAATTGTATATTTTAAAATAAGAGTATAGTTTAACTTTTCTTTTCTTTGCCTAGGAAATCTAATTTACTCAAAATAAAATAGTAAAATATTAAAATGCGCGTAATAAATAGAAAAAGGCATATTATTAACCAAAAAATATCATAACTATGAATAAAAATATATTTAAAATAAAAAATAGTTGTCCAAAAAACTGAGCACAACAAAACTACCAAAACCTACATAATTCTATCAACTCATATATAGCTGATGATATTTCAGGAAATAATGTAATATAAAAATGATATCAGGTTAAAATCTTAAATGCCTAGTGTAAAAACACATGGTACAATTTTAAGAAAAAATAATTATAATTCAACATTAAAAGCTCTTGTAAAAAATTATTTGTACGGAAATCTTAAAAGTAAAGCTAAGTTCAACAGGTCTTCAAAACTATATAAAAGCATGTATGAAGACAGAGTTCTCAAGAATTCCAAATTGGTCATTCAAGGACATAATAACCCTCAAGAAAATTATCACCATTGTCCCAATAATCAACATATTCACTCCATTTCTTATGTAGCAATTAGTGATCCACGGGTTACAGTTTTTCCATAATCAACCTACAGTGCTACCTCCTTATGTTATATCCTGCTGCAATTAGTTCCTAAACTGCCACAATGTAAAGGTGAACATTTGATTAGTACTCAATAATCAGGTTAATTGTTTAACTAAGGATGAAAAAGGTGTTTACCAGAATAAAACAAAAACTTCAACATGGAAATACAATCATCCTCTTCTCAATTGCAGCTTTCATGAAACTGCAAAGGACAAAAAATTCATAAACTCCACCAGAACCAACAAGCATAATGTTGTTTAAAATGAAGTATATGCTACCAAAAGCACTAAACAATTAACATGTTAATAGATCTTAGCAGGAGAAAAAAGTAATAGAAAAATTACTTTTTCATTCATCTTCACCATCTGCTTCCTTAACATCAAGGGTGAAACCATACTCCTGATCACAACCCATGTAAGAATCGCACATGAAGTAGAGGACATAGGATTTCTTTCCAGCATCAGCAGGAGCAGTAAACTCCAGTTTGGCTTTCAACTTCCGTTGCAACGACACCCGTTTAATTGCAAGCAACATGTTGGTTTTGGTATCACCAACAACAAGCCACCACCCTTCTTCCTTGGCTTTCGGATACCTGGGAGCATCAACAGGTCCTACTTCTGTTTTACCCTCAAGATCCCGCTCAAGAGTGACCTGAAGCGTTACATCATCTCCGGCTCGCACATTGTCATTGTCCACGATCTCATATGACAAATCAATATTAGGAAAACGATTGCAAAATCGGGCAATATCCAAAAGCTGAGAATCAGTCATATTCAACAATTCTCGTCTCTCGTCATCTTCCATCTCTAATAAATCAAAGATAGTTTCTATACTCCTCCCTGGGTTCTCCTGGCACTTCTTAGCCAAATCCTTTGTGAAGTGTGGAAGCTGTAGCAGCATAGAATCTCGCTCCCACATTCCTTGTGTCACCATTTGACTTACTTCCATAGCAAGAAGAGCCATGCTCAGCCAACCATTGCTCGATATTACATCCACCATGGCCTGCAGCAGCCTGTTTGCAGAAAGCAGCACCTCCCTCTGGTCCAATGATAGATTACCGCCAACAAATTGCCTAGAGAAATGCGCCTGCAGCACAGCATTTGCTTTAACATGTGGATCTGTGACTTTTGGGTTTTCAAAGGAAAACCTTTGGTGGTTGATTAACCTACGAACCACCTCTTCTTCCCCGGGTCTTATTGGAAGGTGAGCATACTCTGATGCAGATGACAGAATCTCCAACAGACCCTTCATTTTTGTTTTTGAAGTCAATGATGATGAAAACCTTTCAATAGTTGTGTAACTGATGTAATAATATGAAGCAATCATTCCAAGGTTAAGAGGAGAAAGGTCCATATCATCCTCAATAGCAACACACTTGCTTGCTTCTGAATCGCTCAATGTATTTTCCACCATCTCTGAGAGGTGGTCAGAAAGATGTCTGTGACTAACTCCTTGTAAATTGTAATAGTTAGGATTCTGGGCGAGCCTCCTATACATGAATGTCGATGTAAGATAATCTACAGCATCTTGCTTGTTTTCAATAATCCCAGCAACAATTTCAGCATTTAAGTTGTCATGCAAGAAGTGATGAAGATGGCTTTCAACAGGGAATGCTTCATATAGAAACTTCTTGTAGTACTCTTTACGAGGTGCGTGGCATAAGATGACACATTTCCCAGAATTATCCACCAAAGGTCGGCTGGCATGACCCATCATTTGCAGCAAATCGGTAACAGGGTAATCTGTTTGAGCATTCTCTCGCCCATCATAGTATTGTGTGCCCATCACAACTACCAGATGAGCGGACAAGGTCACTCCCCAGCACATGGAACTGCTTAAAACGCAGACCTGAATCCAACCAGCTTCAAATAGTTGTGACACGATGTCATGATCAAGACTGTTCAAGCCCTCGTGCAAGTAGCCAACACCTTCGCGTAAAGTGACTTTCAACATTTCATCACTAATCTTGTTAATAAAAGGCTCAAGTTCTTCTACGGACCGCAGCAAAAAAGGCTTCTCACCACTGTCTGCGCCTGAGTATGTAATCAAATCCACAGCTGTCAGCCGAACATGCTTTCTTGTAGGTACAAATACAATAGCAGGTTTCCCATTCTTGGCATGTTGAGCAATAGAAGTGTAAGTCGGTTTGGTCATTGCCTGCATCCTAGCCTCAAAATTGGCAATATCTACACCTTGGATGTGAATTTCTAATGGCACGGGTCGAACACCAGGTGGGAAATTGAAAAGGCCATGGGAGGTAGCTCCAATCCATTCTCCCAGGTCTTTTGCATTTGCAAGTGAAGTTGACAAAGCCACGATACGAATCTTATTTTCAACCTGACTGGCAATATATCTCATCCGGGAAACAATAACCTCTAAAATGGGACCACCTTGACCTCCAATTAAGTGGAGCTCATCAATGATGAAAAGACTAACTTGTTGAGCATGTTTCCTCTGTTTCCAGCGGCGGGATAAAGCATCCCATTTCTCAGGAGTACTAATAATAACCTGACCTTTCTCAAGCAGTTTCAGATCAGTCGCAGTTTCTCCAGTTAACTCCACTACCTTCAACTTGAGTCCGCCCCCAAATTTCTTCTCCCAATCACGATACCGTTCTTTGGCAAGAGCTTCAATGGGTGCAACATACACAACACGCATGACACTATCAGGCAATTTTTGATGATTCCTCAAAATTGCAAATTCAGCACATATAGTCTTGCCACTCCCAGTTGGAGCAGCAACCAAGACATTGTCATCAGAATTATACAGTACTGTGAAGACTTGTGTTTGTACAGGATTGAAATATTTAAAATCTTGATAAAGAGCTTCATAAGATGGATTTCTCAAGGCAGTAACCGGAAGCGGTTGAAGATCCAATAGTTCAGTAGGCGGAGGATACTTTTCAGGTAAAATTAGATGCCTGAAAGAAACAGGAAGTACAGTTTGGGATCCAAGCCACTTATCAGAAACAACACGGATAAAGTATTGAGGAGGAAGAGGCTCGTATATCGGCACAGTGAAATTCAAAGTGTGATCCTCCTCAATATACTGTTTTTTCAACAAAAAATACTCGTGATGAAGGATATATTCACCATCATTATCCTCCACAATCACCCAGAATGGCTCAACATACCCATGTATCCTATCATCCCACGCAAAATCAGGAGTTATTGTGAGCTCAACCCCCAAAACTGTGCGAGTAATTGGCTGCACGTGTGCTGCAAGGTTCAGCTTTGGGAATTGATGGATAAATTTATGAAGGGTCCTCCCCATCTTTGGTGCACGAATCAGTTCACCTATCTCTTGCGATGATAGGTCGTAATACCTTTCCCAAGCCAAATCCTTCTTCTCCAATTTTGTTAATATATCACTTGGAATTCCAGTAAACTGACGAAGAGGAGTTTGGACACTCCACATCCTCTTGGTCACCATCTTGCATAAGTTCAAAGCCTTCTCAGCCAATTGTGCCCAACCACGTTTCAGGACAATCTCAAAAAGAGCCCGCAAAAGACATCCGGCACTCTGAAAGAGAAAAATGAAATACACAAATCAGCTAAAAACATTATAAGATGAACACCACTTCAAACAAACTCTCGAAGGTAAGAAACAGTCTTAAAAGAAATAGAGTATCACTTCCAAAAACTTCTCAAAAGAAAGAAACAGAGTCATAAAAGAAATATAATACCACTTTCGACAACTCAAAGGTAAGAAACAAACCTGAGTTATGAAAACCATATCAGATGTCATTGAGAGCCCTTCAAGCTTTAACTGTGAAATGTATGCTTGCAATAAAACATTGATTTTTGCACTCGGCTCTTCCAGACTTTCCTTGATGGGAATGGGAACACGGCCTAAAAGCTTAGCCAGCTCCATCTTTTCATCTTGCCTTACTGTTACATACTTGAATTCTTCACTAAGCGAGAACAGCCAACAAAGCTCTATGTCTCCCATAGTAGGCTTCAAATGCTCGTTATATGTGGATATAGTTCCGTGAGTTATATAGTAGTAACTTGCAATTCGACCCAAGTCGGTGACCTGAAAATATCCACTCTTCCTATCATACTTCACCAAATTATTTTTATCTAAGATGGTTGCAGCCGTATGAATCTGCAAAATTTAAATAAATCAATGTTTTTACATCTACAGCTACTGCATTCCATTGCATTTTTTACACCTACAGCTACTGCATTCCATTGCATTTTTTATGAGACACTCGGCAAAATTGTAGGGCAAAAATGTTGTGAACTTGTGATCAGCCATAACATCCAAAGTGTATAACAAATGACATAAGATCAGAAACTTTACTTTAATGCCCTCCAAAAACAGTGATAAGGAGCACATTCCCCATTGATTCGATTCTCAGTGCTCCTCAAACCAACCAACTACTTCCTGGATCTTTCTTCACATGAATCTTGGACATCTTCTCCCTCCATTTAACAGCTTCTTCCCATTTTCCCTCTCCATTGTAAATGTTTGAAAGAAGAACATATGGAGAATGATCACTAGGATTTATTTCTATCATCTTCATTGCAGATTTTTCTCCAATTTTTGTGTTATTATGATTCCTACAAGCACCAAGTAATGTTCTCCATGCCGACTCACTTCCATCCTTTTGCACTATCTCGTAAGCTTCTTCCAACCTTCCCGCCCGACCATAGGCATCAACCAGGGACGAATAATGCTCAGATTTTGGCTTAATCTTGTATTTGTCAAGCATCAATGTAAACAAATGTAAAGTTTCTTCAACATAGCCTGCATGGCTACAAGCTGACATCAAAGCTAAGAAAGTTACATGATTGGGGGACACACCATTCTTCTCCAACTTACTGAATACTTCTATGGCTTGTTGTGCTTTTCCATGATGTGCATATCCACATATCATGGCATTGAAAATCACTTCATTTTGTTCTAATTGTTCATTAAAAACATTCTCTGACTCCTCAATGTTCCCACATTTAGCATACATGTCTATAATGGAACTCCCAACGTAGACATCACGGTTGTAGCCGGACTTGATAGCAAGAACATGGAGTTGTTTACCCTCATATATAGCTGAAAATTGTGAACAAGCTGAAAAACATAGTGGAAAGCTATAACTTGTAAAATTGACTCCTTCATTCAACATCTCTTTGCATAGGTCTAAAGCTTCTAAATCCATGCTGTTTTGTTTGTAAGTTCCAATAATAGAACTCCATGAACTGTCATCTTTCCATTCAATGTCAACAAAAGCTTTAAATGCATCATCAATTTGTCTACACTCAGAGTACATGTGGACTAGTGCATTGCCAACCAAAGTATGACAACACAAACTTGATTTCAATATAAGTGAATGAATTTGTCTACCTGCAAGTAAATCTGATTCATTCTCACACGATTTCAAAACAGCAACCAAAGTGGCACTTTCAATTTGCAATAAGGTTGTTCGCCGAAGTTCTTGCAATAATTGCATAGAATGACTAGATCCGTGACCCGGCCGAGCTCGAGCCAATATCATAGAGTTCCATGCTACAATGTCTTTATCATCAATCCTTCTAAACAACTTTTCCACATCCCCTAGTTCACCAAAACCGGCATAGAGAGTCAGCAACACACTTGCCACAAAACAATCATTCTGATGCCCGTTTTTTATCATTAGGCCATGCACTTGAACACCGGTGTTCAAGTCCTCGATTTCAACACAAGCTTTCAAAGTACTAGATAACACATGTTGATCAAGTTTCACCCTTTGTCTACACATACTCTTGAAAAAACGCACAGCTTCCTCTCCTCTATTATTCATGGTATATCCTGAAATCATTGAACTCCACACAAAATTATCCTTCTCCTCCATGGAGTCAAAAATCCTCCGGCAAGAACTCACATCCCCACATTTGGCATACAAATCAACCATCACACTCTCAACCACAACATCAACTTCAGCACCAAATTTGTACACAAGCCCGTGGATTTGCTTTACTTCTGGCAACAAAGAACAACACTTGAGTAAACTAACAAAGGTACTATTATCAGGCTTCAACCCTTGTACTTCCCTCATTTCAGAAAACAACCATTGCACCATGCTAAAGTCACCAACTTGAGCAAACCCAGAAATCATAACATTCCAAGCAACAACATCTCTCTCCAACAATCCATAAAAAACACGCAACGCGTCCATTAAGTTATTTCCTCCTTTGAGGTACATATACACAAGAGAGCTCCCAGCAAATTTGTCTCTATCAAGGCCATACCGAACAAGCAAGCCATGAATCTGCAAACCCACACTCCAAAAGTCACGGTTGGCACAAGCTCGAAGCAGAACAGAAAAAGTGTACTCGTTGGGTCTCTCATCCGACACACACAATTGATTGAACATCTCCAAGGCTTTTGGGACAGACCCGTATTTGAGATGCGAGGAAATTAAGGTTGTCCATGTGACAACATTTCTGTGAGGCATTTGGTTGAACAGTTGGTGGGCATGGTGAAAGTTGGAAGATTTTGAGTAGAAACTCAAGAGGGTATTGGCTAAATGCGTTTGTGAAATGCATTGCGTTATTATGAGTTTTGCATGAATTTGATGGCATTGAGATAGCGTTATGGGGTTTGGTTTCTTTGCCAGTGACAGCAAAAATGGTTGGAGTTCAAGCACGGCGTGCAATTTGTTTGCATCGAACAGCGCACGCCCGGTCATTCCAACAAGGCGCTGATCATCTCTTGTATTAGAATTTCGACATTGATTCTGAATTTGTTGTTAACCAAACCAACTATAGTGAAAGTGAAAAATATTTCCAACATTATTTTAAGGTAAATTCTAGGTAACTGAATTTAGTTAGATATCTCTAAAATTTTAATTTAGTTATGAATAATTTAAAATAAAAAGATAATAGAAAATAAAATGGTTGGATATATGTCAAACCAAATCCAAGTTACTGAAACTAGCGTTCAAACGGACACTCCGTGTTGTTTGTAAGTTTTTTTTAATTGACACACGTATTAAAATATAAATAAATATTTTTTTAATTTCATTTTGTTTTTAATAAAAATTATTTTTAATATAAACTTTGTGATATATTTCCTTCATGTGTATTTATATGTTTTTAATATAAATTATAAAATATCTTTTTTTTTCTTCTTAATTTTTATTTTAAATTAAATAAATTGACAACTTAAATCTTAAATTAGTAAGTATGACATCTCTCAAAAAAAAAAAATAGTATGTAAGAATCATTAAAAACCATGTAGAATAACTAATCTACATAACACAAAATAAAAAAATAAACGACGAATATTTTATTTAATGAGAATGTAAGTGGTTGAGTAAAGCTACAATTTTCTATTTTACAAATAACTAAAATTGTCTCAATTGACAATTACTATATTTGAGAAAGTTATATGAAAAAAATAAAATTTCATTAATTAAAAAACAAACAACCAAGAGATTGATTGAGAACCTAATTAAACATTAATTTAACTAATTGATTTAAATTAAGAAAAATGTGAGATATATAAAAATAAAGAAAAATAATTTAAAAATCTTTTGGAATTTATATTTTTGTTTCAATTTAATTAAAAGACGTGAGAGGATATTTATAAAAAAAAAGATAATTAAAATAATAAGTGGTTCAAGTTTTAAGAGTATTTATTACAAAAACAACTGTCCAATTTTCATATTTTTCTCAATGTATTTGTTTATAATTGGAGAAATAATATTAAGAAGCATAATTTTTTTTTAAAGATTCTTTTATTGATTTTAATTAATAAAATAAAAGAAAATTGTAAGCAAAATGATTATAGCTGGTTATCATTTCATTGTATCTGCCAAAAATAAATTATCACATACAATTATATATTGTGTAATGAGACATCATTTATATGGTGTATAGAAGAATAGGTTAAAAAAAATAAATGATTCGAGGGGCATAAATAAATATCATATAAAATAGAGTAAAACAACATTAATATTCAAAATAAGTTTGAAAATTCAATTTTTTTTTATAAACACAATATATTCTCATAATCACAATTTTTAAAAATAGTAAAATCATTTCTAAAATAATTTTGATGATTACAATAACAGTGAAAGAGATTGAAAGAGAGAAGAGATAAGAGTGAGTGAGATTTTTGTCGTATTAAATTTTTTTGTTCTCTCCTCTCTTGTATCTCAATTTAGTAGTTATAATAAATTAAAAATAGTAATAAATTTATTATCAATAAATATTATTTATGTTTTAGGAAATAAAAAAATAGTAATAATTAATTATAAATAATCTATAAATATTATGTATAACTATATATAAAGTGATACATTATCTTGACATAATACTACAAAATATACCCATTAAATAATAATGCATTGTCATTAAATTAATAATGTTTTCTGATTAATAATACTTTCTTTAATATAAATCTACTTTAGTGAAAAAATAAAGATGACATAATATAATGGGAATCATATCAATGCCTTTTAGAAAAATAAAGAGAAATAATTTTTTTTCTATTATGTTGAATGGCATAAAATATATTAAAAACAAAAATAACAAATGAATAACATAATTAGGATTACAAACAAATAGTTAAAAACTAAAAGAAGAAAAAAAAAATTGTTTTGAATAAAGATACTGAAATTATTATTATAAAATAATATAAATTGTACATGTTAACTATAGAATGAATACAAAGACTCAAATAATAGTATGAAATCATTTTTAATAAAATGGTTGTACATGATAAAAAGAAAAATGATAAAACATAATAAGTAAGAAATTACATCCAAAAAAATAAAACTAAAGTAAGGATATACTTTAATTGTAAAGTCAAACTTCAAGATAGATAATGGTATGAAGAATACATATTAATTATATATAGTGTGAATGAGTACATATGTTTCCTGTCTATAATCCACTCATTTAACATGACGCTATATTCCACCACCCATTCAACACGACAGTTAATGAAATAAAAACTATAGTTTAATA